CCTTTGGGTTTGGGTGGCCACCACCCCTTTTTTTGGGGTGTGGTAGCCCACGAAAGCTTATGCTCTAATAAATTTGTTAGTCTCTAAGGTGCCAGATGCAACCTTGAGATTTCAGCCATCCAATTACTGGTCGAGAGACTGCAAAGAATCAGGAAGAGGCCACGTAGAAGCAAAGAAGAGATGCTGCATGAAGTAATGCAGCAGTCACTTAACGAGAATCTAAAAGCGCAGAAGTGGAGGGAGAGTGAAAGGAGGATCCGCCAGCAGAATTCAGATTGCCGGCACAAAAGCGTGGAGCTCTGGCAGCAAAGCACGGATTGGCTGATAAGCATCATGGAGCGCCAAGTGGACTCGATCCAGGTGCTCGTAGCCATGCAGGCAGAGCACTACTGTGCCTCCCTCCCCCCCCGCAGCCCTTGCCCAAAACTCTTTCCCTTGTGCCCCCATGTCACCTCCAACGCACTTTCCCCAACATCTGGGTTCTTATCACCACCAGATGCCTCCAACACCTGTAGCTTCACCACCCAGCCCTGCAAACTTTGACCCTTACCCACTGCACTCAACCCCCATCACTATGCAGTATAGCCATCCTGAAGTGCAGGACTCATTGCACAGCACTCCAGACAGGAAGGCTGAGTATGATAACAGGACATACGCAAATCTGTGATTGTACCGTTCCCCACCCCACCCCCTTGCCCTTTCTTTTTCCCAAGCAGTTGTGTTTCTTTTCAATAAATGAATTTTCTTTTCAATAAATGGATTTTTTGGCTTTGAAAACATTCTTTATAAAAGATACCTTAGCCCAGGAAAGCAACAGGCACTGCAAGTCAGCGTAGCAAACACAGATTCCTACTAACATTGGACATTACTGGTGGCTTTCAGCCTCAAATTGCTCCCTCAAGGCATCCCTAATCCTTGCAGTCCCACGCTGGCCGCCTCTAATAGCCCTGCTCTCTGGCTGTTCAAATTCAGCCTCCAGGTGTTGGACCTCCGAGGTCCATGCTTGAGTGAAGCTTTCACCCTTCCCTTCACAAATGTTATGGAGGGTACAGCACGTAGATATAACCGTGGAGATGCTGTCATTGGCCAGGTCCAGCTTCCCATATAGAGAGCGCCAGCAGTTCTTTAAGCGGCCAAAAGCACACTCCACAGTCACTCTGCACCGGCTCAGCCTGTTGTTGAACCGCTCCTTGCTGCTGTCAAGGCTCCCTGTGTAGGGTTTCATGAGCCACGGCATTAAAGGGTAAGCAGGGTCTCCAAGGATCACAATGGGTATTTTGACTTCACCTATGGTGATCTTCTGGTCTGGGGAAAAAAATCCCAGCTTGCAACTTCCTAAACAGGCCAGTGTTCTGAAAGATGCGTGCGTCATGCACCTTTCTAGGCCAGCCTGTGTTAATGTCAATGAAATGGCCATGGTGATCCACAAGCGCCTGGAGAACCATAGAGAAATACCCCTTCTGATTAATGTACTTGGAGGCTAGGTGGGCTGGTGCCAGAATTAGAATATGCGTCCCATCTATCGCCCCTCTGCAGTTAGGGAAACCCATTTGTGGAAAGCCAGCCACAACGTCATGCACATTACCCATAATCATGGTTCTTCTGAGCAGGATGTGATTAATGGCCCTGCAAACTTGCATCAGCATGATTCCAATGGTAGAATTTCCCACTCCAAACTGGTTAGCGACCGATTGGTAGCTGTCTGGAGTTGCCAGCTTCCAGATTGCAATAGCCACCCGCGTCTCCACCATCAGGGCAGCTCTCAATCTCGTGTCCTTGCGCCGCAGGGTGGGGGCGAGCTCATCACACAGTCCCATGAAAGTGGCTTATGTCATCCAAAAGTTCTGCAACCACTGCTCGTCATCCCAGACTTGCATAACGATGTGATCCCACCACTCAGTGCTTGTTTCCCGGGCCCAAAAGTGGCATTCCACAGTGGTGAGCATATCCGTGAATGCCACAAGCAATCTCGTGTCGTATGCGTTACTCGATATCATCGTTGGGAGTCCTAACTGTCAGTTTGGATCTTAAGGAGTAACTCGACTGCCAAATGTGACGTGCTGGCGAGACTCGTCAGCATATTCCTCAGAAGTTCGGGCTCCATTCCTGCAGACCAAAAGGGAAGACAGAATGCGCAGCACAAAAAACGTTGAAAGATGGTGCCAAATGTGGACGGAAGCAGAGGGATTGCTGGGATGCAAACCGATGCATCATGGGATGTTGGGACAGGACCCAGAATGCCCCGCACCCGCTGCCTCCTTCCCACAAGCCACAGCGCCAGAATGGGAAGAGGTGCTCTGTGGGATAGCTGCCCATAATGCACCGCTCCCAATGCCGCTGCAAGGGCCGCAAATGTGACCACGCCAGTG